CTATTGTTATATGATAATTTGTATTACATTAAAAAAGATAATAGATCATTATAAATATATTTTTTTATAAATCTAACTTGTATTTAAAATGGCACAGATATATGCTTAAAATTTGATAAAAATGACAAAGAAAATTTTAATGCAGTCCAATGCGGTAATAAAAAATTTGTATTATATTTTTATTATGATGATTATATGTCGATATTTTTCATCAAATAATTACATTATTCATATTTTTTTATTAATATATTGTTTTTGAAATTATTATATATTGACAATTATGTTATGTGTTTAAATAATTGGGTAGTTGTAGAATTAGGTACTTTAAATTTTAATATAATGTTAATGTAATAAATTCATATAGGTTACATACTCTTCAAACTCCGATAATGCAGTATAATATTCTTCTCTACTATTATTATTATAATTATCTGGCTCACAGGTACACATAATTATGAATTTTACGGAACAAATATGTATTTTTTAATTTTGAAAATGTGCCGAAAAGATTTGATAAATTTTAAAAAATTACATGTCAAAACTGTAGTCTTACATTATGGCATCTGTCGATCAAGGACTATCGATTGCTTCTCACATCATCTTTCATGATATAAAATTTGTATAATATCAATAAGGCCTTCCCATTTGAAGATAGTTCTTAATCAGATACATTACATCTAGGTATTTGTATATCATGATTTTATATGCATAATAATTAATATATTTCTGAAAATTTAATAAATAATAATAAAAACAAAAAACTTTCAAAAATTAAAAATTATATTTAATTATTTTAAAATTATATTTTATTTTATTTCACATTTTATTTCACATTTTGTCGGATAGTGGTCATACATAGAAATAGCTAGATACAATGCATTTGAAAGTAACTATTTTTAAACGAGAAGCCATTATTAATGCTTCCTACACATCGTATCTTTATAAATGGAAATTTGATTAAATTGATATTTTTAAAATTATTAATGCAAACTGGAATGAAATTGAAAGACAGCAAATTTTTAAACTAACTTCTTGCATTACATAATTTTACAAAATTTACTAATTTTACAAAAAAATAAAAGATTTAAATTGAAAACATAATCCTAAACACAAAGATCTTAAAGATTTTACGAAATGTATACACACAAGTTAAATTAGATTTCATTTACGTTGACGTGAGTGACTTATGAATCATTCGAAAAACAAATCAACATTGACGATTAGATAAATTTTTATATCGACTAAACAATGCTTTTCTTTTTCCTTTTTTTGACCGTCGTTTACATTAATTAATTGAAATCCGACGGAATAAAAAATTATTCACTTAACGAACCTCGAAAGCCTAACACTGTTCCACAGATAACCAACGCACGTCTGCGTGTCGAGAAACTTAAGCGCCACGATGTATTTATTTATCATCGTCTTGACGGATGGCAAAATTGTAACTATTTATTAGATTTAAATAGCAGCGTGCTGTTCTTCCGAGCGACGATCGAGTTTGTAGATAACCTGCTGTTGCGTAATCGCGCCGTCTTCCAGGCATAGACCGGTCGTGTGATCTCGGTGAAGTTACACGCACGCACGCACGCATGCACGCACGCACGCACGCACGCACGCACGCACGCACGCACGCACGCACGCACGCACGCACGCACGCACGCACGCACGCACGCACGCACGCAAGCAAACGGGCACGAGCATGTAGTACGGTGGGCGCGTGCAAAGGACCACACACCGTGCGATATTCAAATGAACACCACTTACGACCGACAATCGCGCTGCCATAAACGTCGTTTCGCGGTTTCACGGGCGCGTCTCCTTATTCCGGTCGTACTTCTCCGAGACACCCGCCATTTTTACGGTTTACACAAAACAGACTGGAGTTATCGGCCGCCTCATTTCTATACAGGCCCTGTAGTTAATTAGCAGCGATATCGCTTAGATTTGGAAAGATTTTAGAAGCGTTCCATTAACACTTTGGTTGCGGAAGATGATGTCCACAGTATATGATGATAACTCTATCCCAAATCTCATGTATATTATTTAAACTAAAATTATTTAAGAAAAATCATGGCTAAATAAAATTAATGTGTAAAATAAATTTATAAGGTTTAAAAACTACTACGATTTGCTAATACAAGTGAATAAAATTTTGTTTCAAATAAATAGAATTGAAGTAGAATTGAAAATAGATTTTTAAAAGTGCTAATCTTGCTAGAGCACCAATACTGCATTAATACTAGAAAATATGTTCTATATTAATTTTTTAATTCTTAAAAATCGAGAGTAATTGAGACAAATTATAAACGCGCGAAGTTATACAAGATAACAAGCGGAATTGCATTTAGCTATTTGCTAGTGACCGAATTGATTAGTTTGCGATCTCCAACATCGAAGCGCACAAGATAAATGACACTTCGCGATATTGAATAAAAAGGTAAACACTCGGTACGCGGTGAAATCTATGCATTCATAGCAGCTAACGCAGTAAAATATTCTTGGAAGGAATTCATCTTCTGGATAGATGACTAGTTTTATAAATATTGATGTCCGTTCGTCTTACATAGCGGGTCAGAGCTTTTGATTTTGAGCGTTTTCCGACGAGGACGACGTCGGAAATGACCATCGTGCTGATGATGATGATGATGATGATGATGATGATGATGATGATCATGATAATGATGATGGAGCTGATTCTCGATATTGTGGTTCTTCGAGGGGGAACTCCTACCGGGTGGGGTGCGAAGCATCGTGTACAACGACACCTTCGCGTTCGCCTCGAATCTGTAATTCAAATCCGAAAGTCAAATTAATTTAACGCTCGTCATTTTTCACGTTTCGGCGGCGTCGCGCCGCGGCACGCGGAGTCCCGGCAGCTATCTTTCGATATTTCATGCCGGAGAAGGCCGTGCCCACTCCCACCGTGATAGATGCATCTCTCCGTGATTGTGCTGTCACGCTCTTGAAATGAGGAAGACGCGCCACGAATATTTCAAGTATTATAAATGCGCGGCCGTGAGAGCAAATGACAGTCAATGTTGCGCGTTATTCCGATACACGGTTTTTCAAATTTATCTCACTTCTTGCGCTGATTTTGCACAGGCGATGTATCTAAGATGTATGTACAGCTCGTGTCTTGTATCGCACGTGCGCTAATCATACAATTTTTCTCTGGGTTGCTCAAATTTCGTAGACTAGGTAAATGTACTTGAAACGTTCCTAAGAATAATGATGATGTTTTGTGATTTAATCTTATTGAGCCGTATTTATCCCCTCAAACGAGATGCTCCTATTTTGAGAATCATTATGAGTTAACAAGCCTCGCGGGTTATAAATATCTCTCACCTTATATAACCCATCGATATTGAACGGTGGTTGAAATCAGTCGGCAAGCCGTGAATGAGTTAGTGTTAGTATAATCGCGTTAGCCTAATCGGTGCTGTAGGGAGTCCGTTTCGAAGTTGAAAGGGACCAAAGGCACTAAAACGGTCCTATTAAGCCTCTATAGACCGCCACAATTGGGCCACCCAATCCCCGTACAATAACAATAGTAACTTTTCGAGGAACCGTCTATCTGGTTTTGTGAAGGGGATTGAAACGATTTTATGCTTGTCACCATTATTCTCATTCCCTCAAAAATTAACACATTTCTTAAATTTACCTTATCACAAGAATTTTATGTAACAATCTCTTAGATTACTAATCAATTTTAGGATGCAAAAAGTTTTTGATAGAGATAAATATCATGAAATCATCGTCTCTAAAATTTGATAACGAAAGTATTACATATTATTAAAGCTATCCAAGAAAAATTGGTTTTACGTTGATACCAATTTTTATCTGAACACGATACAACATTACGCGGTACGTAACGATAGAATATTTCTAAATTTTTTTTTTTAAGAATGCGAGAAAAATACGTGAACATAATTTATCGAGCAATCGAAGTAGGCTTAATCCGTTAACAAATTCTTTCCCTTCCCCGCTCTCGGCGACGGTGGTGAAGGGAAGCCGACGTGACGCATGACTGCATCCTCGTAAATTATTATATAAGCGCCACCCTATTTCCGAATCTGCGAAGTTTCAGAAATCTCTTTCTCGTCTCTCCATTTCTCCTGCCTTCTATCCCATAGATCACAAAGAAGCCGCTGGTAAGTTCACGGTAAAGTTTATAGGAGACAAAAGGGGAAATGTGTTGCCCGCTGAAAAATCGCCGGCGCTGCAGCTATTATTAATCCGCGTCGGAAACGCGTGAGCGCCGTTGCGACATGTTTTCATGACATAATTCGGAATCGATTTAACTTCTTAGCGCCCCTGCGTGACGCGTAAAGGATTCTTACTGCACCCGCCCGTAACTCAGAACGTACAGCGTCCCGGCTCTTAAGTCTCATTACCATACTCCTTCGTTTGCCGCTCGGGTTCTGCATACCTATTACATAGCTATTACACTGCCGGTTTGCTCGACCGGTTACCGGTATCTGAATATTTATTTAGCCGATTACTTTTTTCATCGGCTCCGGGGGAAATTCGATCGCCGTCGCGCTGACTGCTTCGTAAAATTATGGGCAGCGAATGAAGGACGGATAAGAGGCTGCTGTCCTTTCAAAGGCGGCGCAGTTATTACGCTTATATTATTACGGATCATATTTAGGTTAGATTTAGCTGAAATAATTTAATTAAATATAATCCATGTAAATAATTAAATGGCAAATATGTTTTTAATTGTTAAACTAACGAATAAAATATACAAGTGGATTAATGAGAATGCGCGGTAATTAGCGCGCAAATTGTCGATGTATAAAAATATATTTTTCACAGGAAAGTCTTTTTAGCTGGCTCCGGTCATGTAAAATTTTATATAAATTTAAATCATTAAAAGTAGATTCTTTCTTGATAAATTATTCTTAGCAATGCTAATTGCTTTTTCGAAAGGCAAAATTTCAAATTGCAGTCGCCGATGTTTTTACCGCAAGTAAAAATTTTGCTCTCTTTCCTTGCAGATTCTTTAAAGTGATGGATGATTTTACATCGACATGCAGTGAAGGTGAGTTTGCATTACTTCAAATATTGTATTTGTTGACTCGTTATAAATCATGCGGGAATCTCATAACAAAGTTCCTCGATTCAGAAATCGAAGTAACTTTATCGCATCTACCACAATCTTGAACAAATATATAAAGCTTTGCATTGATCGAGAGTAGTCGCATCGCTGAGAGATGTTTGATGAAAGTTGCAAGACTCATGTCTGATCGGCGCCAACTAAAATGCATCAGGTTCGACAACAGTAGGAAATAGCTCTTAAGAAACTTTGACTTATCAATAATCGTAAAAAAAAAGAACACTCAATACTGACGGGTACTCGTGTTTCTGGCGAGAAAGATCTCGTAGGAATCTTCGCTTGAACGAAAATTGCTGATCACGACTGTACGGACGAATTCCTTCCTAATTTACTCCCTCGATTACGGTTCGGCCGTGTTGTACGTTGCGAGAAATGTACGATGTATCCTGCGAATGTAGGATAGTTGGTGGTTGTTTTACTCGCACGATTGTACGGTGTGGTCCGGCGTCTGTGAAGCTTTCGAATGAAGTGGATTCGGCAAAGACGACGACGAAAACGATTGGAAACGGATTCGATCGGAAAAGAATCGCCTACGCGTGAAATATATACGTTGTTAATTATCTGCCGCTTATCAAGCAGTAGAGAAGAAAGTTCACCTATTAAAAGTTAGCCCCCCACTTTTAGAAATAACTTATTTTGAGAGCTGCTGCTGAAGTTGTGCTGAATTGTGTTAGGTTTGTGCTACATGTTGTTGTGCTCGAATTTTAAAACCGTAATATACTTCTTGAATCTCAGCTTATAAATCCGAAATTACGAACACAGAATCCAGACACGAAGGAATGCATTCAAGAAATAAAGCCCTTCATATCGTTATGCTGACAAAACTAAATGTTGTGCTGACTTGGGCTGGGCTAGTACAACTCAGATATGCAGTATTATCAACATCGAGTAACTACAAACTCGAATTTTTAACTTAAAATGCGTAGGCGAAAGGCTGCGTTCAAGAGTAAAGTGCCCTTCATATCGTTGTGTTGACGAAACCGACGGTTGTGCCGACTTGTGCTCAGTAGCAGAAGCAAGTATATGTTAAATATGGATTTGTATGCTCTTTAGATGATTGATACAAGAATAAATGTCATTTATATATTTTTTTCTCAAATCTATTTTTTATCATAACTTCTATTGTTATTATTTTTTAAAGATAATATTTTGGCATAATGTTAGTACAACCTAGCACAATCTAGTACAATCGAGAAAATTAAAAAAATCGCAAAATGAGGGGCTAGCTTAAAATGTCATTTTTTTTTATTTTTTATGACATTTTTCACATTACGGTTTTAAAATTTGAGCACAATGTAGCACAAATCTAGCACAATTCAGCACAACTCTCAAAATAAGTTATTTCTAAAAGGGAGCTAATTTCTAATAAAATAGAAAGTTCCCTTGAGCGTTTTCTCCTTCTTTCTCTAGTCTCGTTTCTCTTCGTCCATGTCATCGCTTTCTTCCTTTTCTTCTCTTCTCCGCGTGTACCTCGCGTCTCTGTCCCTCCATTTTTTCTCATGCCAAACGACCAGTCATATCTATGAGGCTGCAGTCGAGATTCAGTGTACGTGTATTTCGTAGTTTTAGAATTGAGTTTTGATTCTTAATTTATTTCAATTATCTTAAATCTTCGTATATAGGATCTACTATCTTCGAGATACATTTTTTTTTTTTAAATAGCAATCTTGGAATAATGCTTGAAATTTTGAAATTTATTCAACAGCCAGAACTGTTTTAAACTTACACAAAATCAGAAAGTTTCGGAATTCTTGGAATTTGCAAGATTCTTCGGGGACTTCATAGGATGTAAAACTAACATAATCTTTTCGGACTTTTGCCGTCGAAATTGCATAAGTATACCATAAGTATTGCATGAGGTTACGTTCACAATTTACAATTCTCGGATTTGTACGTGGGAAACTTATGAATCAACTATCTTGAACTTGGGAGGTGAAACGGTCCATCGAAAAACGAGTCGAGACGCATTCCAAGGCAAAAGGAGTCGTTTCGTTGCCCATTCATTCCACCACTTAGCATTTATCAATACCGTATATTCAGTGCCTAATACCGAAACATTGGTCGATCGCATAGAAATACTCGTACACAAATATTTCACTGGTCGTTAAATCGATCATTAAATCTCTCATGTACTTAAAAGTGAAATTTGTGTCCAAAATTTGTGCGCCAATTTCTTCTCTATTTCTTTTAATTTTCTACTATCTAAATTATATCATCGGATTAAAATTGAAAATTTTCTTACATAATACATATCCAATTGTTTCTGAAATTGGATGGTTGCCAGTTGTGGCATTTTAAAAGTATCAGGCGAACACTTATACATTTTTTTACTCGGATTAATATTAATTTTCATTCAGGTATGTAGCAAAAGCCTTCGAGTCCACCGAGTTTCGCGACACGCTCTGTATACGACACGTACGCGTCGCGGTTCAACGTGGAGCGTTCGATTGATTTAAGACAGCAGTAATCGCCGACCTGAAAAGACTCGAGGCAACATGTCTCTCGGCAATATTTTCATGTTTATGTACGCACACGACCGGACGTTAACGTTCTTTCCCGTTTCGGTGGACTCCTTCGTCGTGGCGGGGCTTTACGCTCTCGTGCTACTAGGATCTCCGCCGTGTTCTCGGCACGAGACGATCAGGATCTCCCATCCAGAGGCTATTTGAGCTGACGTACCTCTCGCGTATATATCATATTGCCACATTTACCACGTCGCTTCGGGTCGTACTTCGCGGACTACTCCAGTAGCCCGAAAACCAACCTTTGCGCCGTACAGGGAGTGGCGTATGCAATTCCGGATGCGCCGCCGCCCGCCTTTTATTCCCTCGTCGGCGATATCTCGGGGGCACGAACGAAAACAATATTTGCATGCGACCGCCCACCCTCGTCCATCAGTATGCACGAGGTTGCAACCGACTCCTTCCGTCTCTTCGTTTCGCGCTGTTTGAAACGTGACGGACCGAAGCTCATTACGGGCAGCGAACTTCTACTTTACTCGAAGAATTATTTAGCGAAACGTTCTTACGCTGCTTAACGTTACGTTTTTACGCAGCTCTTCTGAATTTCGAATTTATCTTCGTAAAACTCAATTTTCTTGCACGTGAAAGAAATTCCGGGATATCTCTTACGCTGTTTGGTAATTATATTTAAGTTTCCTTTTTCTTGGAAATATATATATCGTCTAATACTATTTTTTTTACTTGTTAATTAAGTAGTTTTTACAATTCTCTAAACGAATAACTTTGGCAAAATTGAAAATCTATAAGCGATATGCTTTTTCTTCTTTTGACTTTTAGTAATATTTTAAGCATGATTGCATATGCATATGTTTTGACTATATAGCAATATCTGTAAATTTTTAACTATTAACAATAAACTTGAGATAAATTTACAACAGCATTGATAGTAGATAAATTTTTTGAAATGATACTTTAATACAGATATAAATATTGATTATAGTTTAGTGAGACTGAGACTGAGACGAAGGGATAAAAGAATTCTTTTTATATCAGTTTAAGGTGACTGTACGTTTGCGAATAATTACATCTGTGTGAAGCAGATATTTTGAATTGATCGCGGGTTCATTCCTAATTAATGATATTGCCGAATATACAAGGTCCATTTTCGACCAACAAACATTATCGTCAGCTCCCGTCGAGCAACGTTTGATTTCGGCTGCCAAACAGCAGGGTGCTCAGAAAGACTTCCGTTATATCTTTCTCGTCGTTGTAATTTTATGTCGATGTACAGACGTGCACATACACATTATTCAAGTGACAAGTGAATTTTACTTCCTCGAATACCGAAATTCCACATTCAGACATTCTTTTTTTTTTTTATTTATTTAATGTTAACGTACTTATTTTATTACGATGCATTTTAATTTTGTGATTAACTATTTATTTGTATATTAAAAAAATATTTAATGTACAAATTAATGTGTTTCATCATGTGATTTTAATAGAACGAATATGAAATATATTAAATCTTATTTAACTTACGAGAATAAAGGAGATAACGTTCAATAGTTAAAAAAAGCGATCCGTATTAATGTTCACCAAAATAATCGTAATTCTTTGATAATCTAATCTTGAGGATCGGCTTATTTGTTAGCATAAAGACCACTGCTCCACAGGGGTGCTGGCTCCAGATTCACATTAGATGCCGACGTGTTCTGGGAAGATTCCCATCCGCTGAGAGATGTACGTTATGCAAAACTGAGATGACCTCGTGATAGATACCGACGTAAAACAAGCATACCTTGCATATCGTGTACCTTGCATACGTGTACATGTCGAATTACAACAATCTATTATTATATTTCTGATTCATTCCGATCGTCACTATACTACATGATAACATGCTCATTACATTTTAATTGTGCATAATTTATTAAGTCGATATAATGAGCATGCTAATATGTTAATCTAAGATTTAGAAAAAAGCAGAAAGACTCTTGTATGATGTAAGTTTTAACAAAAATAACATTTCGGCGAAAAAGTATTATAAAATTTCTCTTTTATCGATCTGGAAAAAAGATTAAAGTTTTGCTCGTGAAATGAATTTACAGAAATATCTACGATCCCCTTTTGTCTGAAATGTTCACGGGTTCTTCGGTTTATGTTCCATTCAAGTTGAGAATTTACGTAGTACCATTTTTCTCACCGTTATTTTCCCATGTATGATAATCCAAGGACTTCTTTACGAAGAAATAGCCTTTATGCTCGAGTCTGCTAACACGTTGTCGCTCATTCACATATATTTATTTTAATACTTTCACAGAGGGACGCTAGATCGAAAATAGCTGTGGTCAGCAGTTTTATTAGACCATTTGTCATAATTTTTTTCACAGAAGAATCTTATGGTCTTGCTGGCGCCATGCATCTCGTATTCGATATATATTTACATTATTGTCTTTCGCGAGCAGAACATTATCGCATATCTATCAAAAGGGAAGCGCGCTATAACTCGTTCGCGCTGCATACTCGTTCTGGGATACACTCTCCGTTTCGATCAGGCGACTCGTAGAGGTCAAACGGAGTATCGCATGACCCGCGATGGGCCACTTAATTTACCTTGAAAGCCATGGTAAGGAGGTACGAAGTGCCTCTAAAGTACTTGGTACTTATCCTCCGCTCGTTCGCGCTTCGCTGAAAACAAGAAGACAACCGCGGTAAGGGAGAAGCGGAATCGATCGTGCGGAATCCAAGAGGAAGGGGGAGATAGGCGGTAGACGCGCTTCGATCGTTATACTGGTCAACTACTCTCATTAAGGTCTGCGACCCTTGCGAAAATGCCGCCGCCGCCGCCGCCGCCGCCGCGGCTGGCTGTAGCCGGAGTCACGTGAATCGTCGTGAATTCGTCGCAGCTTTTGCCGGTAATTTGCGATAATATTATAATCAGCCCCTTGCTGGGCCCGAAGAGGTGCCGACTCTACGCCCCGGGCCGAATTGATGACCCGTGGAATCGTACGTCTTGCCGCGCGTAGCGGTGCGCCCTTATTGGGTGCCCTTTTCACAAGCGAATATTTCTTCGGTTTCCTCTGCGTCCTCCTGGTACCGTCCGACGTCTCGAAAGTGCTTTCGAGAGATACCGATCGCATGTCCCGCCGACCGGACTCTCACGCACACGCATCCGCGTCGCCGCATAATTACTTTATCGGTTACGTTTTCTACTCCGTTACTTACAAAACTCTTTCGAATAAGAAAATACTACGGAAAGCCTACAATAATATTCGAACGATGTTTGAATTTATAAGTTTTTTTCTTTAGAGCAATAAAGTGTAATTGTAAATACATAGGGTAATGTTCGCACGCGGGTCTGCTGATTTCACTATTAAAATTGTTATTCTTTCTTGCACCATTAAATTTTGTATTGTGAGATATGTAAATTCTTTGTTACAGGTGAACTTATAGGAATTCATTGCACACACGGCGTGAACCGTACTGGTTATTTAATTTGTCGGTCAGTATTATATAATTTCGTACCACCTCCCCTTTAATAAGTTATAATTATACAGTGAAAACATTTGTGTTAAATTTGGCACAGATGCATATTTCAAATGATTCAAGCAAACAAATTTTTATATTTTTATAATTCAAGTATACGAATATATTAAATACTGATCCTAATATTATGTTAATATTTTAATATAAATGAATAAAATTTTTAATAATTTACATCAATTTTATAAATACAATCTTTCATAATTTGAAATTAATGATTTGATTAATGGGAGATCTAGTTCAATCACGATTAGAATACTATTTTGTTATAGGTATCTCATTCAACAACAAGGTTGGGAAATTGAAGATTCTTTAAACGGTATGTCGTTTTAAAAGCATTTGCATTTATTACATTATATGTTGTATGAATAAAAGCTGTCTTTTGCGACTGTTTTATTCTTATTAATTTTATAATCTTATCAATTTTTAACAATAATTACTAAACATTTGAAATTATTATCGATGAAAAATTAATTACTTATAGTTATGTACAGATATGTTAATTTATTTAATTAATTTATTTTAAGTTGTATATATAGTAAGCCATGATTACACGTCAAATCAATGATCAGATCGTTTTTTTTTTCTTCAAGCGTGCAACATAATCGATTTGTGTTACACCATTAACGTTAATCTGAAAATAGGTTGGGTTACGATGACAGCTAATAAGTTTATACTTTGCGTCGCTTTATCGATAAAGTTTGTTCTCCAAACGAGATCTCTTTTTCTACCTGTGTTTAGCTTTCGGGGAAGCACGTGGACATCCCGTCGAACGCGACATTTATCTTTCCGATTTAAAAAAGGCTAAACGCGGCGAGAAGATCGACACGAGTAGAGTCATTTTGACGACGGAGAATCCCGCGGGAGTCTCGACTAAGAGAAATTCTCAGAAGGCACGCTCGTTGAAAAATCCGACAGGCCGACCGATGCCGCGACGAGGCTTCGTGAACGGTGGGCCATTTCCGCCGCAGAGATACGGTATCGCGGGCCCACCGCCAGGATTCGGCCCGATGTCACCTCCACTACCCGGTATGCCGCCTATTTCGCCGATGAGTCCGCCGCTCTACGGACCCAGGCCGTTTAGGTATGGACCGCCGCCGATGCGCGGGGTGATGCCGCCGCCGACGCCGCCACCCGGGCCGGGTTTCCCGCATCCCGGTTTCCCGCCGCGAATGCCAGGTCCGCCGAGAATGGCGGGTCCACCGAGATTGCCGGGCGTCCCGACCGCGCGGTTACCGCCGCCGAAGATGCCACCGCCGCTGCCTCCTTCCAGAACGGCCAAGCAGCTTCAAGCGCAGAAGAAGAAGCAACAGTTTAGGAATGGAATTATGGATCGCGCGGTGAATGTTCGTTTGAGGCGGAACGGGCCGATCAGCGGCCGCATCATGCCCAAAATACATAAAGAGCAGGACTTTACCGTTGACACGTTCGAGGAGAATCTGCTTACGACTTCGGCCGTCGCGCAACCGCGACGACATACTAAAGGACGCTTTAATCAAGCCAAGTGACCATGTACTCGTTAGGAATGCAATGTTACTTAAACGCACGATTTTCCGTTTGACACGTTGCAGTTGACACGTCGAGACTTAGTGTCTGAGATAGTTCGCACATAATCGTTGCTCCTTTGGAACAATATAGGAACAATACGGTGCGGTGATTATTTTTTAACTTGGACATGAGATTCGAAAAAATTATATGTCATGTGACTTGGTGTAACGTGCTACATCGATATCGTTAACACATACCTCCAGTAGACGTTTTTAGTCGATATTTTATATTGAAAACGCTGTCAATTGATGAATAAACTTCGGAAATCTCATAATACTAATATCTGTGTGTTTCCTGGATTGTCTTTATGCACAAGATACATAACATAAAATATTACAAAGTATTTTTTCTATTTAAATAACGAAAAAATTCTATTTGCAAAATGTCTTGTAGTGTTTTATACAATCCTCTATATATAATTTTATTTTGTCGTATTTTTAATTCTTTTAACACTTTTTAATTCTTGATTAAATAATGTAATAGAATTTTATTAAGATTATTTGTGGATATTGTATCATGAGATTGCGATAGAAGTCAACTGGAAATATTTATGTAATAAATACTTGTTTATATGTTTATTTAAGGCTACTGCTGATTTACTGCAGCTATCTGATGACGTACAATTCGAGATAGTTGCAAGAGCCTTAATACAAAGATTATGTATACCTATAAACAGAATTGTCTTGTGTAGATTATATCATTTGTATGTTAAGTGAACACGTTGTTATTATGGCTTTTTATAATTCGACATTACAAAATTTTAGTTTAAACATTTATTATTTTTATTTAGTTTACAAATAAATTTACGCGCAAATATATTATTACAATTTGTTAATTAACGAATTAACTAAAAATCAAAACACGTGAACTGAATGGACAGCGATTCTCTATGTACAATTTTAAATAAAATGTGTACATTTAGACACAAGAGATACACACTTTAAAAAAAAGATTAAATTAAAAGTTTTTTTATCCATTCCCATTCGGGAATAAACCCGCAATTATACCTCATAAATGGCCTAGCCGAAAATAGAATTTTAAGATCAGTGCTTTAAGATTGTTGGTTTAATAAATTAATGGTTAATTGCATTACAGATTAACAATACGAGATTTCTGGATCACTCTGAAAATCTAACAAGTATAATTCATTTAATTTAATTTTATTTTATTTTAATTTATTTTTTTTTATATATATATATGACGTGATATATTATTTTGGGATAGATTGTGAGCGACTTTTAATATTTTTATTTGGTTGACAATTTATTATCGTCCTCTTAATATTATATTATATTCCGACAAAATCAATTCTTTTCCAATCGCTATAAATCTGCTGTCGGGAAATTACTTCCTGATTACTAATACGGAGGATCGGGAAATGTTTTACGAGGATACTCGGTGGTAAAGTAGCCTGGTAGTTCGACGTTGTCGTAAGATTACGTAGGCAGGTACGCGCGTGGCGCGAACGTAATTGAACGTACGCCTGGAAGATCGGAGCGGGCCACGGTTAGTCGTGCATCGTGTATCTCGTTCCGAGATATTAAAGTGATTCAATATTCGGACCGGAGTCAAGGGGTCATGCGTGTAGGAGGGACACGTCTCTCGCGCGCCGGACCATATATCACGAACTGCCGTTGGCGTACGTGGAATAATTCCACGAGAAATTGCATGCGTCACACGCGAGTAACGCCTTGGGCCTCGGGGGCTTTACCCGGCGGCCTTAAAAGTGAGACTTGGTGATAGGAAGGGCATAAATTAAGTGCGCTCGCACGCGTTTTATGGCCCATTGCTTCCCTCTCACCTGAGGGATGTACGTTACTCTACTTAATTTACTTAATGATAAACAGCGGATTTCGACATGCCAAAAACTGATAACAAATAAGGGATATATATATTGTGTAATTAATGTATACTGAGAAATATAAATTTTAGATTGTTAACATTCTTAAAATCTAATTCTAAAATCAAAAGATTTAACTCGGTCATACTTGACATACTTAAATGTCATCTTATAGAAAAAAATGAAACGTGTTACCTTTTATATTTTTAATATATAATGAAACGATCATAAAAATCCAAAATTTAATAATATAAATTCAAGATTAAAGCATTACAAAGCTATACTGGCTAAGATGAATCGTTATAGTGACATTTTATCGTAAACTTATTTTTTTCTAAATCGTTTAGCTGCACTAAAGATAAAAAAGATACAGTAGGTAAATTGTTTGCTTTCATCATAGTCAAATCAAATCACGTTCTAAGTTACGCTCGAGACATAAATGACGCAGGCACACTTTGGGCGTAAATGTCGAGAGGTAACACGAAAAAGAGACCGAGAGAGGGAGAGAGGGGAAAGAGACGACGACGACGACGACGACGACGACGACGAGAAAAGAGGTCGTCGTGGATAGAAAGAATTCGAAAACTTTCTCAGAGGTGGAAAGATCGTCGCCCTTCTCGCCACGCTCTCGGCTCACGGGAGACAATCCGAAAGTAACTTCTGGTCCGGGTTACTGGCGCCATGGGAAACAATCATCCATCGTGATCGCTGGGCACAGCCGCGCGCGCGAGACAACTGTTTCTCCGGGCCCCGTACCTATCTCAGTTAGACATTAGATTTATCGACATATTTTCTCAGTCTTTTTGAGAGACTTTATTTACTTTTGTACAACGTCGTCCTCATGCACCGCTGCTGCACGCGCGAGTAGTCCGCCTTGTTTCGGCCCGTGGATCGGACGCTGGCCGATCAGATCAGAGGGGGATAGCAGAAGCCGAGGTTTAACCGGGAAAACGGATCGGTGTTTGTATAAATGCTATTTCGAGCAAAAGAGAAGACAGTCGAGAATTGGTAGGAATAGGAGAAGGATCGAGTCTCGAGGGGTACAACGCTTTATATCACGCGGAGCAAATTTGTCCAAGTCTGCACTTAAAAAGGGAGCTTTTGAATTATTAGTATTATTTATGTCGTAATTATCTGCAAAAGGAAAGAGAATGGTCTCTGGCCAACAATCAGGTTTCTATTGCCTCGAGTCTTTTGATTGCATCACGTGCATCTGCTTTCGCTTTGTGAATCTTTGAGCGTAGAGCGAAAAGATGTTTACATAAGTAACGCGGTATAGTCGATTGTAACTTAATTGGATGATCGATTTAATAAGCGCTAAGCTGAAACAATAACTTTTTTTTTAGAGGTATTGACGGGAATTTCTATTACTGCGAACAAGAAGATTGCATGATCTAACTATCGCGTGATTGTCCAAAACGATCTTTCGGGTGCGTTTCGACGGAACTTTTCAAATAATTCGTAAAAACCCGCAGAGGGACAAACAAGTCCATAAAGACCTCGCGTCATCTCGCTGTTTCTTCTCCCTCACGTCCAGTTCCCTCGTTCGATCAGTCGTTTTACATTTGTTTGAGGTGCGATCTATCAGAAACTCAAATCGCAAATCGGATCATTTGTATGCTTGTATGACTCGAATCTGATTCATATGCGCGTCAATGATAAGTTGCGAAACGAAATAAATCAATAAGAAAAAGAAAGGCAAATTAAAAGGATCTAATAATGATTTATTCGGCAAAATAAAATTTTACTTTTTGTTAAAAGAAATAACGATTTTAATTTTTTAGTTTCATATTTGTATATTATTTACAAGCAATTAATTAAAGGATTACTTTAACAAATATAATTAACCGTAATTTGTGCAGAGTGAATATAGCTGAATTTATATTATAATTTCTTTATCAATGAATATTTTTTATTTCTTTGTTATGACATATACACGAATACATACATATAAAATCAAAAGAGAATAGAAAGGTGTCGAAATCTAAACCAATTTTCCATTGGAGAACGGGGCTTATAATTTTGTAGAATGAATTTCTACGAATTCCTTTTAATTCATATGTTTTTTGCAGAGATGAATACTATAATTCATCGGCGGAGGGACCGGCAGCGAGTCCCTCTTGTCCGACGTGGCAATTAGTCCAGATTAATTTCTCAAAAATGAGGAACGCGCGCGTGCTCTGCGGTAGGTATAGATCTTTTAGAGTAGGGACTTCGGAGTCGAATAGAAGGCTAAGGGCTAACCACACACGTGGTTCGAGCTATCT